AGCTATTCAGGTACTAAACCAAGACAAACTCACCAACTACTAGAATGAGACTGGTCCTCCAGGTTCTGTGTTTTACAAGCCAATTGTTTTCTCTCTTCTTCAGACCATGGAGGTGGATGACTTTACCTCCACTGTGGCCTGTTTCATGCGTCTGACCTGGGCAGCTGCAGCTGGCAGATTGGACCTTGTTGGTAGCCCACAGCCAATCAGAGAGACCCACGGCTTACTCATGTCACAGGGAGTCCGCACCAGAGTCAGCAGTACAGGTGAGACAAATGACCAAACGAATTATTAGAAACTTAGAATCAAAAATATATATAGATATTTACATTGTCCTCGTCATTTTTAACCACATTTGAAGAAAATAATGCTGTAGCAAGTGTTGTTTACGTTTGCAGGTAGTAACTGCAGCTCCAGCAGCGAGGGGGAGTCCATACCCACTGCATTACACGCAGGAATCTGTGTCAGGCAGCAGAGTGTCTCCATTAAGGACGCCATCATCGCCCGTGAGGCCCTGTCGCTGCTGGTTACTTGTCTGCAGCTACGCTGTCAGCAGCTGTGTAAGTCAGAGAGACACAAACGTATCAGTTTTTATCTATTTAAAATGTACTACAGACAATGATGTCTTATCTTGTATCTAATTTCTCCAGGTTCCTTTTACAACCTTCCCTCGGTCAATGATTTCATTATTGATATTCTTCTTGGGTTTCCTAGTGAGGAGGTAAAAAAAAAAAAAAAAAAAGGATTTTTTTACACATTGGCTTTCAGAGCACACTCCCTAGGATTGCAGTTTATGCTAATACACTTGCTTTCTCCCTTAGATCCGACGTGTGGCTTGTGACCAACTGTACACTCTCAGCCAGTCTGACACTTCAGCTTTCAACGAACTGCAGAAACCCAACCTGTTCCTGCTCTCAGTCGTTCTCACAGCTCAACTGCCTCTGTGGAGTCCAACATCTATCATGAGAGGAGTCAACCAGAGGTAGTCATGCAGAAGCACATAATAAATATCCTTTTAAAGTTCTGGTGATTTAAATGTTACTCTCCTTCAGGTTATTGTCTCAGTGCACAGAGTACTTTGACCTAAGATGTCAGCTTCTGGATGACCTAACCAGTAAGTCGATAGATTATTCCATTATTTTATTCCTGGAATCTTGAGTATCATTTCAGTTTAGAAATTATACACAACAACTCCCTGTGGGAGTTTGTCTCTTGATTTGTTACCTTACCTCCTCTTTCTTTCTCTCCCTCCCTCCCTCCCTGTTACTTTCATTCCATCTGCCTGACTTTTTCCAGCCTCAGAGATGGAGGCTTTAAAAGTGAGTGCAGCCACCATGCTGGAGGATGAGATCTCCTGGCTCGATAACTTTGAGCCCAGCTGGAGCTCTGAAATGGAGACCAGTGAAGCAGACAACATTCTCCTGGCTGGTCATCTCCGACTCATCAAGACTCTGCTGTCACTCTGTGGAAATGAGAAAGAACATCTTGGTGAGGACACTCACTCATTTTAATGCAAATAGAGACAGTTTGAGAAATAAAACGTAACTGACAAATGCAAATATGGCTTTTTAGGTCCATCTCTAATCCAGCAATTGTTGGACGACTTCCTATTTCGAGCCTCACGCATCATCATCAACAGCTCCAACTCCACACCATCACCAGCTCCCAGCCATGATTTCCATCCCAAGTATGTTGTTTCAAAAGTTAGGTTAGGTTTAGGTTTCCTTACGTTTATTCTATATATTCTTGACTAAAGAATGTCTAAAGCTAATCCTTTTTACTATTCCAAAAATGTTTGACCAACTCCTAGTTGCCTTATGAGTAATGGTTATGCTTTTTGAATGTAAATAAGATTCCAAAAAAATTGATTTTTTTGGTCATTGATATTTTAACAACATTAAGCTCATATACTGTGTATCCATGTGATTTCAGAAAAGTTGTCAAAAGCTTCATGAATAAAAATGAATAAATGTATGTCTAATGTCAGCATTGGATTTATAAAATGTGTGTAGCAGCCAGCATCTGTGTGAGCACACACTGTACCGTGAATAAGTTTTAATTAAGATTAAGTTTTATGTCTTATCATATCCGCTCAGGTGCAGCACAGCCAGCAGCAGACTGGCAGCCTACGAGGTTCTTGTCATGCTGGCAGACAGCTCTCTCTCCAACCTTCGCCTTATCACCAGAGAGTTACTGTCCATGCACCACCAGTCGGATCCTTCCCTCTGTAAAGAGTTTGATGTAAGTTTTTAAAATATTTTATTATCATTCCAAAGTTAAAGGATATACATGTTACTAAGGTCGATCTCCCCTTTAGTATCTGCCGCCCGTTGAGAGCAGATCAGTCTCTGGATTCGTTGGACTAAAAAATGGTGGAGCCACGTGTTACATGAACGCAGTCTTTCAGCAGCTCTACATGCAGCCAGGCCTGCCAGAGGTTCGTTTGTCACCTTGTTTGCCCTCCAAGTTTACCACACAGCCTTTAATCTGTGACGAAGGTGTAGTTTAATACTCCGACTATGTGTTTGCTATTAGGCGTTCCTGTCTATTGAGGATGACACAGACCAGCCAGAGGAAAGTGTCTTCTACCAGGTCCAGTCTTTGTTTGGACATCTGATGGAGAGCAAACTACAGTACTATATTCCTGAAAACTTCTGGAAGGTAATTAATCATTTTTTGTTTTCCAAGTAGTCAGAGTAAAAGGTCGTCAGTTTGATCTGACTCTTATTTCAGGTGTAATTACTGTGTCATTAATGCCTAAGGTGTCATTAATGCCCTGAAGGTGTGTGAAAACACTTTCAGAAACATTCTCTGCTGTCACATTTAGTCTTGTGGGTATTTAACATTTTGTCTTAAAATATAAATCAGACAGAAACAGGCAAAACCCTGTAATCCAACCAACAGAGTAATCCAACCAACAGAGAAAATTGGTTGGTGCTTCTGTGAACTTGATTTGTTGGTTGTAGATCTTCAAGATGTGGAACAAAGAGCTGTATGTCAGAGAACAACAGGATGCCTATGAGTTCTTCACAAGTCTTGTGGACCAGCTTGATGAACATCTCAAGGTAGACAAGTCTCAAGAAATACCTGTTTAAATATGCAGTATGTGCAAATGTCAAGTACTTCTCTGAAAGATATATTTGTGGTTTACTTCCTCCACCAGAAAATGGGCCGAGAGCAAATATTCAAAAACACATTTCAGGGAATTTTCTCAGACCAGAAGATTTGTAAAGACTGTCCTCACAGGTGAGTGGGGTTCAGTCCTCCCACATTGATGTTATATCCTTTACAGATACCACAGATGATCCTTGACTTTTTATTTGACAGGTATGAGCGTGAGGAAACATTCATGGCATTGAACCTGGGAGTGACTTCCTGTCAGAGTTTAGAGATCTCCTTGGACCAGTTTGTCAGAGGAGAGGTGCTGGAGGGCAGCAACGCCTACTACTGTGAGAAATGCAAAGAAAAGGTTGGTGTGCTGCTGAGCGCGTGTGTGTGTGTGTGGCTTTTTTTTTTATCACCTTTTAGAATAGTTTAACTGACATTTGTGTTTGTTCATTTGTGCAGAGAACCACTGTGAAAAGAACATGCATCAAATCCCTTCCTAGTGTCCTTTGCATTCACCTCATGCGATTCGGCTTTGACTGGGAGAGTGGACGCTCCATTAAATATGACGAACAGATCAGGGTATGGAGTATTTATAAAAAAAAGGCCCAATCATAGCACCTTTGTTTTGATTACAGCAGCCAAAACCCAAGGTGGAAATCAAAATGCAATCAACATCTGTGTAAACCCTTTCTTCTTGGTGTACAGTTCCCCTGGGTGTTGAACATGGAGCCTTACACCGTCTCTGGAATGGCTCGTCAGGACTGTAGCGGAGAAGGCGAGAGCCGAGGAGATGGGGCGTCTGGAGGTTCCCCCAGGAAGAAAGTTACAATTTCAGAGAACTATGAACTTGTGGGAGTCGTTGTCCACAGCGGTCAGGCACATGCCGGCCATTACTACTCCTTCATCAAGGACAGACGGTAAGAAATGCTGCAGTTGGGAGTTACTCATTATTGGCTCATGTAGCTGTTGCAGTCATTCTGTCGACTATTTTTTCCAACCAACAGTATTTTACCAAGAAGCATATAACTAATGATTAGGTTGAAAACTTTAATCTCTGGGTTTAGGTTTCCATGCAGAATCTAAGGGACCTCCTTGGTCCACATTAGCAGAGCATCAGAATTTGCCTGAACTTCTGGTTTAGTTTGTAAGTGTCTC